CTATATATATATATATATATATATATATATAATCACACCTACCCTAAACTTAAATAACCATGCATACTCATCACTGAAACTCTCAGGATAGCAATTCAAATATTCCATTCCAAATAAAATGTGTATAACAATAGAATGCAGAAATATGAAAAAGAAAAAAAAAATGACTAGAAACTTTATGGCTGGATAGAAGAAATATACACATCTCTATTTACCAATCTGTCATATAGGAGGAGGGGGTGTGAACTACACTGGCTCTTTTATTTCCTTTGAAATTTACCTACATCCTTCCTTTCGGTGGTGGCTAAATCAAATAACACATTTCACACAATTGGCAACCACCATTTACATACCAAACAGGAAAAATAAAGGTCCCAAATAAAAAAAACTTTATTATTAACTGTCTAACACTTAAATGTAAATTCATGCGAGATTTACTAAATAATACGGGTTCGACCTCTTATTTAATATTTATGGATCAGGACTTGTTAGAAGATGTTCACACTTTAATCAGAACTCATTGCATTTAAAAAATTAATACTGGACTCTCAAGTTCCCAACTGGAAAATGGACACCTAGATCGACCCAAAAATATAAATTCTATTTTATTATTTGGCGAGATCTTTAAAGTTACGCCTATTATTGGTGGGTCAAATAAACTGTTACGTTTGGAATGTGCCAGCAACTTTTGTGCTTTCATTTCTCTTTACATATACACCTCTCTTCCCCCTACTGGAAATCGGGGAGAAAAATTTGACTTGCCATTGAGAGTAATTATTGTAATATCATTGTTTAATTATATTTTTAGTCTTTTTTTCTGACAAATTTTAAATTTATATTTAGTCTAAAATATCAAAAATTATTATTATAGTTCCTCAAACTTAAAATTTATCATTTTAATTTCAATAATTTTAAAAATTATTATTTTGATCACTAAAATCATAATTAATAGTGATAAAATGAGAGGAACAAAAATATGATATATTGGGAACTAAAAAACACAACTTATAAATTTAAGGGACTAACTATTTTTTTTTTTTAAATAATAGGAACTAAAAACACAATTTTAAAATTTGAGGAAAAAAAATATATACCCAAAATTTGAGGACAAAACGCATTTAAGTCTATCAAGTTTCATTTAACCAAATTTTAACGATGAAATAAAAAACAATTAACTGTTAAATTTTGGAACTTCATTTCTCTTATACACAGCAATTCTCTTATACATGACCCAATTAAAATATTTTAGTCAACAAGCAAACCATAATGCACATGAGGAGCTGAAATTGTATTACAGGAAAGTATGGTATTGGCATGCTTCATGGTACCAAACCAAAAGCATTTAGAGGAAGAAGCCATACAGTTCCAAATAACAAATGCAGAGATTCCAGGGATTGGTGGCATCGGTGGTGGGTCCCGTGAGAACAACCCGAAAGTACCTGAAGGGAAGCAGAGCGTTGGGGCCCATTATGGGCCAAGAGGCAAACTGACCAGGTTTGCATACAGTCCGTTCATTTTCATGGACTCTCAAGTTCGTCCAGTTCTTCCCGTCCAGTGAGCCCTGAAAATTTTACACAACATAATTAATAACCTTTCCCATCACATAATACTTTGAATAAACCATCAATTTGGTGCCTCAAACATTACTCTCTCTCCCAAATAGTGTCCTTAAACTATTGAAATTATATAAGCAATCCCTAAAGTATTTGAAATCATACTACATAGCCCCTCAAGTATTGAAAAATTCTTCATTTTAGTGCCTCAATGTCAGTAAAATATATCAACTCAGGGACTAGATATTAAATAAATTAGGGATTACTTACATAATTTGTTAGTTTAAGGACTATTTAGGAGCTATACTTATTTGGTTTAGGACTAAATTGATGATTTATTTATTTAACTTTTAAACACTAACAGATAATAAACACCGCTACCAGTTCTACCAGATAAGAAAACACCGTCCACAGAGCAAGGATTGTTTACCTGAATATTCCAATATCTTGGGAATGCCTTAGAACCGTCCTGCCTCAGGGTATAGTAGTTGCACATAAGCTGCACACATCGATTTTTCTTTTTTTTAATCGGAATGTTGATTCCAACTAAGAAGTAACGATCTACTCATGGAGGAGCAATTCTACTTCTATAATTTTGATAAATGAAGTTGGAAGGTGGGGAATAAAATCGTCAAATATCCACTAGCTCAAAGAGCTTGATCAAAAGCGAGTACTATATTACTATTATAAAATATTTAAAACATACACAATCTGCATGTTACATACCTGATGATCTTGGCCAAGATCAACCATCCACCAGGTACAGTTCTGTCCATTTTCCAATCGAGGCCCAGCAAAACATGTTCCCTGCGATTGCCACATGCAGTTAGGTACTATTCAAGAAAACAAGTGTTAAAAAGTTTAGCATACCTGGTAGGTTCTTGAGACCAAAACCTTGGGATCAGTGTATCTTGAATGGGGGCTGCTGGCTGTGATTGTAATTTTCCTAGGCTGCCACACATAATTTTTATTGAAGAGCATGTATAAACAATTAGCCCTTAGCATAAAAATTCCTAAAAAGTAAAATGAAAGGGGAAAAGATAAATTAGATGTTCTACCTCTGCCAAAAGAGGATTAACCCACGGGTGTTCACCATAAGATGTGCCGGCAAAGTACAGAACTCCATGGTCATCCCCATCACAAATGTACTGGAGTTCCCTGTAACTGGACCGTCTATGTTGGAATCTAACACTACAATGAAAGCTAATGTATGTTAGCTACTCTTGAGATGTGTTCTTTTATAGGGAATGGGGAGCAGATAAATCTGACAAAATTCATAACGTAAGTTGGGAAGTAGGAACTAGGAAGTGAAAAGCACAAAAACCTTAAAAAACAGACCAACAACTCCTAATATTCCTAACTTGTCATCCAAGTAATCCCATTTCAAAATAGAACTCCTAATTTATTTAGAAAACACTAAGTAGCCAAGAAATTAATGAGTACCTTAGGATATTATCCTCAATCCATATACTTATGATATATTAATTTCGTTTTCCACAGTCCCCACTTCTAATGTTCCTTTCCCATATCCATTATCCCTACTCCAAACTCCACCAGCATGTCACTGTTAATATCCACAAGTACAAATATCATTCTTAATAGGAACTTAAAATGTCTTTCTAATGTGTGCCCATATGCACATGTTAAGTCAAAAATATAATTTTTTTCTGAAGTTGGAAAAGAAAGTATTTATTATATCCAAAGCACAAAAGCCATTCAAAGCTTGTTTTCGAAATAATTAAAAGCATTAATTATGATGTATTAAACAATGCTTATCATGTTCCCGCTAACACACATTAGGAACAACTTTACCAAATTCACTTAACCCCCCTTCAAACTGTGAACTAGTACCAAATTCATATTAGTTCGTTGCAATATGCATGCTGGGCTTCAACCATAGCTGTTTAGGGAGCAAAATGCAGTGTTGAGTGACTTGGGCACGGTAACACCATGTTTGGCAGTATGAAAGCGATACAAGCCACAACCACAGAAGGGCCTAACCACCTATGTGAGTGCAATTTTTCATTCAAAACTTCAACGAGCTCTGATCTGTAATTAATGAGGGAAACGGGGAGGGAGATGTGCGCCCCTGAACCAAGTTGGGAATTGGATAGTTTGGTATTGGCATTAATGACAATAAGGGTTGGGAATTGGATACCCACCAGGAAAAAGAAAATCAAAAAAATAAATTAATAAATTTTATAAAAATGTTAAATTTATTATGTTAATAAAAAAAAATTGCTATTTACAAATGTATTATTATTTTAAATTTAATATTAGAAATACGTGTTTGCATCTAATTTTTTAAATCAGCATAACAACTGTATATACTATATACTCCCAAGTACTGCATATCCGTACCCATACCACAAAGTATAGCGTTGTTCTAATAATTGTGCCCTTAACCCAGGGAAGGATATAAGCAAAAGCAAGTAGTGTCTGAACTACAAGATTTACCCTCATTATGCTCCCTAAAACTGTTACCTGGAGGCAGAAAACAAGGACAGAAGAAGAGGAAGGATAGGGTATTAAGCTTGAGAGAGATAAATAGTGTGTTATCCAATAGGTTAAGTCATCTTGTATGGATCTTGAAAAGAATTCCCCTCTATAATCCAAATGGGCCAATACGTTTAGTGAATAAAAATGAGAATAACCCAGAACAAATGAATCAGAATTCATAATACAGTAATCAATGGGATTGCAGCTTATTTCACACCAAATAAGCTATTGTTATTGTTAATACTAATAGTACAGAGTACAGAGGCCACAATCTAAATATTGAAAAAATACACAATTAAATTGCAGTGCATGACTTAAATAACCCAATGAAGAAGCTTGGTAGACAAACTAAGGTGAAGAACTTACTTCTCTTCATTTTCTGTCCCTGCCAGCCCACATTTAACAAAATTGATAGCCTCATTAACCTGTAACAAGTAAAATAACAGAATAGTTATTCAGAGATAAGATTACAAAATCAGATTACACATACAGCCTGAATTTATTGGAACAAGAGCAAACTCACTAGATTTTGGAAAACAGGAATATGCCAGGCAATGTTACTATTCTGCAACTGCACATTAATTATAATGTTATAGTCAGAAATTAGAATAAGCAAATCATATTTATGTAACTGTCTAAAAATGTTTGAATGCAGAGAATACAAACCTTCTCAAGTAAGGAATATTGTAGAAGTGGAAATCGCACAAATGGCAACAGGTCATACATTAACTGAAGCCTCTCTCCAAAAAGGATTTCAGGTTTTGAATTTACTATTAATTGATCCACCACTTCCCACCCAAACAACTCTTTTGCCTTTATGCCAAACATTAATATTGCATTAAGAACTTTCTCTTCAGATGTTACTGTCAGATCTGGATGCTGCAAAATCCAAATATAGATTGAGAAATCATCAGTCAAATGAGTAAATATTACAAGACCCACTAGGATAGACAATTTTACTGCCACATAATGAATTATATCTAAATTAATATTCACAAGGTTTATAGAGAAATTTAGTGTTTCAAATGAGTAAAATCATATCTACAGTTCTCAGATCAAACAGCTTAGGTCTCATCCACATTGCATATACAGGAATTCACTAAAATCCTGTTTTTAACTTCAATGGCTTATCTATATAAGTAGAACCTTAATCTTTTATGCTTTACACCCCCTATCTGCAAAACATTTCTGCTTTACAGGTATGTCAATGTAGATCAGAAGATATTATGCTATATTCTTGGGTTTACCATCAAATTCAACTAAAGAAGAAATTTGACAAGAAACACACCTTAATGATATTGATGAAGGTCGTCTCGTCTAACAAAACAAAGTCAGTACTTGCACTGATATAATAGTCGAAGTTCATGGAAATTCTCCTCTGCAGTGTTTCTTTAACAAGTCTACATGATGGGATTGAAGAAACCACTTGGAGGAGTGGACATACTGAGTCCTGCAACAAAGTTCAACAGTTAGCTTCAAAGGCTACAGTATTATTAGTTGCCAAATTGTCTGCTTCCTCCTCCATTAAATTTGTGTATAATAGAAAAACTCTGTTGTATGACCTTCACCCAATAGAAGAACTTCATCCCTGCATATAATATGTAGACGGGAAGTATCAATATCTTAGGATTGATTACTATAAAATGGATCTCTTCTTTTGTTTACATAAGTCTGAAACCACAACTCTCTTCTCCAAACAGTTAGTTCAAGTTGCATCCACAGGAAAAATGATTCAAACTTCCAAATAAGTACTGATTTCCGTTGTGAGTGAAGATTGCCAAACTACCTCTGAGAGACATTCTAAAAGCATTTTGCAGCATTCTTGTTGAAGAAAAGTCACTCCAAATTGATCGGCTAATAAAAGGAGTTGGAGCAACAAGGCACCAGAATCTAAAACTTTGTCATTCAATTGCCCATCATATAAAAAGTCAAGCATAGCCATGAATGCTTCTGGTGGCACATCCCTTAAAGTAACCTCCGAGGACATGCTTTCACTCATTCCATTTGTGAACATCTGGCAAAATAACAAAATGTGTAACTAATAGCTCATATTGTCAGGTATGCAAATACATAACCACCACATAAAACATAGAATACCTACAACACAAGAATATTATTTGCATAAAGAGAAATTTAAGACATATACAGACAAGGAAAATCGCAAATACTTGTTTCTGGACAAAATGCTAACTTGCATTGCAAAGACACAAGTAGAACACACTGGACATCGAAGCTATTTACAACAGTGTTGGGGTGTAAATTACTTAACCTCACAAGTCACAAGATTTAATTTGTAACAGAGCATGTTGAATACCTTGAATTGATGCTACACACAAAAATCGTTTTATTAACCAGATCAAATTTGTTAGTCATTCCTTAGACCTTAGAATGTAAAGTCGTAAACAAAACACCCTTGATTTTTCACTCCCTGCCCATTGTAGAAGAAATAATTTTAGGAGATTTAGAAACATTCTCTCAAGGTTTTGTTGAATATATAGTTCATCACTTTTAAACTGAACTCTTATAATTAAGTTCAATACTTCCTCCATAAAAGTAGAAGCTTAATGCTTAGGCAAATAAATATTGCGTTTACAGTTTTACTTTTATGAATCTTCAAAAACCACCCTCAAAGGGAGGAAATGGAAGCTCAGGTTAAATCACATATAAGATTGTGAAATTGGCTCACCCGAGCAAAGGGGATACTCCATAAGCTGAGAACAATTTTATGTGCTCGTGCAATGAGACCATAACTTTCGATGTAGATGTTTACATCACCGTACTGGCTTGTTAATTTCAATTGTCTCAGTTGCTGAATGCTGACAGGAAGTGAGGGCAAAGTTGAACAATGAGGGCGGATAGAAGGATATGTTAACTCCACATTCTCACCCATCAACAACTTCTTATCTAGCTTAAACCGCTCCATAGTCTCTTCACACTGCTTCACCAGTGGCATCACTTCAAACTGCAGACTTAAAGCCCTCAAAGAACCAAGTTGTTCCGGAGGAATCTACATGATACAAAGACACAACTACCTTGAGTATATAAATATCAAATGCAGTTCAACAAGTACAACATACCACATTAAATAAAAATCACCCAAGAAAGAAAAAAGTAAACATTAATATGCACAGAAAATTGAGTATGAAAAACTTTTGTAGCAGACAATGATGATCTCAATCTCCACGTTTAACATCAACAATAGCAAATACGAAAATAATAAGAAGGTATGACCCCCTTACCTGGGTCCAGCCAGTGTAGATATAGTGAAGCAGTGCATGGAAAAGTGGATAAGACACTGTGGGTACTTTGATGACAAAGGAGGAAGAGCACAGAGAAAAGTTCCCAGATGCAGCTAAAATCGCCTTGTGGGCAGGAACGGGCTTTTCATCTTCTCCAACAATGAACAACACATCAGACAAGTCCCAACTCTCGAGGAAATTTTTGAGCCCCCATTTATCATAATCCATATGCTTGTAATCGTAACAGTCTGCTGCATCAATTTCATCCTCAACTTGATAATCACCGAAAACAACATGCTTCCAGAGGGGCACATGAGTGTGGGTCATGGACAAAACATTAACATTTCTATACTTAACATGTTTATCCCAGCTGCTGAGGCCAATATACTGAACATTGCAATTGGGATAAGAATCCAACCACTGGAAAACAACATCCTGAAAAGGGTACTTCCCATTGCCTATGCTAATCAAGCCATCGTAGATGCTGATCCAATAACTCTGAAAGGAGGAAGAGCAGCAAAGACCAACCCCTGCCACGTCGACAACAGTTTTTCCATTGACCTCAATTCTGAGTCTTCGATTCCTGTGACTCCCCAATATGATTGTGTAGTGAGGACTGCTATCTCTTTTATAATGGTAACCCTGGCTTCCCACATTCTCACGGAAAACCAGTGTAACATCGTTGCAGGCGAATGCTTCGAAGGCCACACAACCTCTACCAGCTTCCCGGAATTTCAAATCCTCTCTCCATGCGCACTCAAATGGCGGCACGGTCAGGAACTTCTCCGACATGGTTGTTCTTCGACACAGTACACCAGCAATGAATCAATATTCAATAATGTATATTTAATAGTAAGGTAATAAGGAAGGGAAGGGAAGGGAAGGGGAATTTGATGCGTTGGCGTGTGAGAATGATAATAGTTAACGATAATTTATAACAAATTGAGATATCTGAAACATCACTTTCATAGATAGCCCAAAACGGGCACTAGAAGCTTTCAGACTTGACCCCAAAAGAAATAATAAAGGGCAGAAACAAGAAAAATAGAAATGGAAAGGGTAATCCTAAGCCACATCCTTATCCAACCATGTACAAACTACAAGGATGAAATATCTATGCTGACTAAGATCCTCGTAAGGAAAATGAACAAAAATGATTTGGGAAAACATCATTGATTGTCAGGTAGTGCGTATCTTTGCCTGATTGGACCTTTGTAGGACCATCCTCGTCAGCTAATGGCTCGGTCTCAGCTTCACCATTCATATTTCACATCCAGACTTCAATTGATTAATTAAATTGCTAGAATACAACCCTTGAAAAAAATTCCTAAAATAAAATTAGCTTCCTTACCGTTCAATCGGCATAGATTTTTTTTTGTTTTTGTTTTTTGTTTTGGTGGCACCGTCGCGTAATCACTCTCGCAGTGCCTTCTGGATCATTCCTTAACCTCACAGCACAGCTACGTTCACCCACCCCACCCACCACCCGATTCCCTGCTTATGCTGCTCGTCAAATCTCCGCTATGTTAATCTCGGAAAAATGACAAATTATTAAAACATTTTTTATTATTATTAATTCCTAATTTATCTTCTCATTTTGTTTATTTAATTTTAAAATTCACATTAACTTAAATTTTGGTTCTCATTTGTATTTTTTCATCACAATTCTTTCCTGTAATAATAATAACCACATACTTTTTCCATCTTTTTTACTTTTATTATTTATTATTTATGTTTTATTTTTGTTATTTTACATTTTATTTTTTATTTAAATAAAATATATAATGAAATGTTTCATTTCTTTAATTATACATAAAAAAAAATTATATAATTTTATATTTTTTTTAATAAATTTTAATATTAATTACACTTTTAATCTATTACTATCATTATGCCTCAAAATTCATCTTTTATTTTTTTTTCCTTACTATACTTGTCTAAAGGGCACACTAGTAATCTTCTTGTATTTTGAAGGCCGAACGAGTGCTCCGATCGAATATTCTGGTGAGGGAGAGATATATGCAAAAGGCACTCCGACGCTCAAGTCAGGACAAAGCACAGATATCGATAGTAATTAATGAATAGTGACGTTATCTCGTGACATGCGCTATTTATACTAACATTTATGGGCCCGGATTCTCATGGGCCATGCAACAGGATTACCAGATTAGGTAATACGCCTATAATCGGCTTACTAGTGTGATTAACTCTTAATCCTTAATTACGGATTAATCCTTGGCTCTTATTAATAGGAATCTGAGCCTATGGATCATTTAGCGGCCGAACGACAATGGCCATCTGGTTCGGCCATTCAGGTGCCGATTGGGTATCGGCCAGCAGGTGGCCGAACGGCCGAACCAGGTGGCCGAATGGGCTTACTAGTACACTTGCCCCCTAGCCTTGTAGAAGGGGTACCTTTTACAAGGGTATAGAAATGAGTTGCAATTATGTGGGAAGTTGAAAGGTTGGGGCGCCAGCGTTGGATCTTTAAAATCAGGCAGTTACATTTTTCAAAATTTTGAATTTTCCCACCTTTTTTCGTTTGCTATATATAGCGGTGCGTGGTAGGGCCTCTCACGCGTATCATTCTCAGCCGAATAGTATCATCCGAGCGATATCAAAGATCCAGCAGAGCGCGCCGAGTGACCGTTTCACATTCAGATTTTTGGTAAGTTTGATTGAATGGCTACTTCTTCCGAGAGCTCTTCGGCTAGTGTGGCTCGGTCATCATCATCCGAGGGGTCGTCGTCTAGGGCTTCGAGGCCGGTGCAAAGGGAAATACCATCGCCGAACGGGGACAGGTCTAGCGAAAATGTGAGTACATCCGAAGAGGCTTCAACTAGCGGGAGTGAAGAGATGCTGAATTAAGATCTCGGATTTCCAAGGCTGTTTTGTTGAAATGATCCATGAAAACCCGAAGAGTCTCCTTCTTATCTTGCCGAAGACTGACCAGCGATAGAGATGTCAAGCTGTGAGGCCGACTCGTTGCAAACTGGACTGTGAATTGAGAGGATAGCGTGTTGAACGAATCAATAGAGTTGGGAGGGAGCCGAGTGAACCAGCTCAAGGCCCTGCCTTTTAGTGATGTCGGGAAAATCCAGCATAAAGCAGTATCGTTCGTGGTGCTTAATGTTACCTGCATAAGAAAAATGTCAAGATGTTCGTCAGGATCCGATGTACCATCATATTTATCAATCGGCAAAGACTTCCAGTTATCCATCAAAGGTAACTGCATGATAGAGGGTGTGAAAGGGTGTTGGTGTGATCCCACTGTTGCTACGTCGGTGGGACGTCCAACTGTAGGCAGGGCCGAATGAAACTTCTCAGGTGCAGCAGCCGAAGCATGAAGAGCCGAAGTATGGATGTCATGGGAGTGGTAGGATCCTTGTGTTTGAGTGTTGGTGGTCTGGGTAGGTTTCCACGAGGGGTCTTGAGTTTTTAACGCCTCGTTTTCGGCTCTCAAAGCCGAAAGTTTTTTTGCATCCTTCTCCCGTTGTTGTTTCATTGCGGCCATCTCCTGCTTGAGCAAACGCACGGTCTCGGAGACATCGGTTTCGTCTACAACTTCAACATGTTCCTCCTCCTCGGTTTGGTGCTCTTCTGCGTTCATTCTCCTTGTCTTCGTCATTGCCTTGCTTCGTTGATCTTCACAACTGTCTCGGTTCGGCCCCACGGTGGGCGCCAAAATGTACCTGTCTAAAGGGCACACTAGTAATCTTCTTGTATTTTGAGGGCCGAACGAGTGCTCCGATCGAATATTCCGGTGAGGGGGAGGTACCTGCAATAGGCACTCCGACGCTCAAGTCAGGACAAAACACAGATATCGATAGTAATTAATGAACAGTGACGTTACCTCGTGACATGCGCTATTTATACTAACATTTATGGGTCCGGATTCCCATGGGCCCTGCAACAGGATTACCAGATTAGGTAATACGCCTCTAATCGGCTTACTAGTGTGATTAACTCTTAATCCTTGATTATGGGTTAATCTTTGGCTCTTATTAATAGGAATCTGAGCCTATGGATCATTTAGCGGCCGAACGGCAATCGGCCATCTAGTTCGGCCATTCAGGTGCCGATTGGGTATCGGCCAGCAGATGACCGAACGACCGAACCAGGTGGTCGAATGGGCTTACTAGTACACTTACAAATTTAGTCTCTTTACTATTATAATTTTTATAATATTTTAAGGACTGTTTAGTCTTTACTATTGTAATAATTGTTTACACAATTATACAATTTTTGTTTACTTTTATAAATTTTCATTTAATATTCAATAAAATATTAATATGAACTATCAAGTATTTAGTTTAATAAGATGTGTATTAATGTAAAAAAAAAAAAAAAAAGGATGTGTATCACTTAATATCCTTTAGCTCACCGCTGTTAGACTTGATCGATTGATGCTTAAAACTTAAAAGGTGTTAAAGTGAAAAGATTGTTTTTTGCAATATTAATATTGAATCAAGTTTGTAAAACTAAAAGAGAGGAGTCTTAATTTACACTTTTTTTTAAATACTACTTCTATTAAATAGAATTTATTAAAACTTATAATAGATGGTTATTAAACAGAATATTAAACCTATCAAAATTTATATTTTTTTAATAAATTTTGATAAATGAGAGAGAATGTACTTAAAAGAATGTGTTAGATAATATAAATGTAATAAGTATGATTAAGTCTTACATACGTAATCAAGTGTTTATTCAAAAATCTATATTTTTTTAAGTAAGTTGATCAATTACATAGTTAATTGTTATGCTTTCAAGATTTTTTTATGAGTTACTTTGGACAATAATCAACTACATGAAGTGATAATCATTAATTTAGGCTTTAACATGTTTGTAAAAGGTTAAATAGTATTTTTAGTCCCTACATAATATTAAATATTTAATTTTGGTCTTTTTATTCTAATTTTACAATTTTAATCTTTGAATTTTATAAAATTTGTAATTTTGGTCCTCTTATTGGGTGTTCATCTATTGATCTTTCAAATTGTAATGTTCACCAAGTCTTAACACTACATAAATGACACAATAATTAATATTTAATAATATTTAAGTTAAATTGTACTTTTAGTTTTCATTTCATCTCATTTTCATATCATTTTACCAATTTTATGAGTAAAAAATAAAATTAAAAAACATTAGCCTGAATAATATTAAATTTACTTGTCATGTTATCTTCTTAGTGTAAACTTATAATCAATGTCACAATTTTAATAATGAACGGAACATGAGACCAAAATTATAAATTTTATAAAATTGAGATATTGAAATTGCAGATTTAAAAGTAGAGGACCAAAATTGCAAATTTGATATTATAAAAGGGTCAAAAGTGTAATACAGTAAGTTATTTCAGAAGGTCCAAAAGCCCAGTATAGGTGATTTAGTAGCTCAGAACAGACCGTTCCCAAACTAGAATGGGTCATTCCCAAACTATAACGGGTCGTTCCAAACTACTAAATTGACCTGTAAATCGTAGTTGAGAACGGGCCATTCCAAACCCCAGAATGGGCCGTTCTAGATGGAGAATGGGTCATTCTAGATGAATCCCAGAACGTATCGTTCTGGTTTTAGAATGGGTCGTTCTGCATGTGATTTTTGCACATGATGAAAGGGTGCAGAACGGGCCGTTTCGGATTCAAAACAAGTCGTTTTGGCCACTCCTGAACTTCTATAAATAGGGGTTGTGCAGTTGAGGAGAAAGAGAAGTTTTTATAAAGAAGTTTTAGAGAAAAGGTCTCTAGGTTTGTGAGCTCGTTTCTCTCCCAAATTTCTCTGTATGATTCTTCTTCTCCTCTAGATCACTAATGCCTTCTGCCTCATCTTGAAATTCAGGCTAGGAAGCTTGCTTTTGGAAGATTGAAGTTTCTGGGTTGATCTCCGAAAAGGGAATTCTACTTCTTCTCAGTTCTTGGCTATTTTGAGTCAGTCTTCAAGTGAGGAAAGCTAGAATGTTTGTCGTTTAGTTGCATGTGAGTTTAGTGAATTGATGCATGAAAGTTGAGGATTCATGGCTGGATCGGAGAATTTGCCCATTTTTCGGGGTTTTGGGAAAGATGGAGATTTTGGTGATTTTGATGCATCGGATGGGTGCATGTTGATTTTGAGTTTGTTTTTGTGTTGTATGGAGCCTATGCATTGTGTTTTTGTGTTTACATGTGGCTGGATTTGCTAGTTTGGATGAGTTTTTGAACTCTCTGACTGGGATTAAGCCGAGCGCAGGTTGAGCGCACCGGGCCTGGAAGAGTTTAGGGCTCTCGGGTTGAATGTTAGACCGGGCATGATTTGGTTGCACTGGGCGTGAGTGGGTTTGATATTTTTGGATTGAAATTGATGCTCATGCATGTTTAAAGTTGAAGTTTTAGATCATGTATGTATGATATATGATGTATGGTGAGGTGTGATTCATATGTATGTTTGGTAATGATATATATGAATGTTTAAATATGATATGGCATGAGTATATGTTCATATGAGTATGATTATTGAT